TGACTGGTTACAACTCAAGACACCCACCTCCATCCATACCGGAATTTTTGAAGGTTGATTTTGAACTATCCCTAGAAATTTTGAAGGGAAAACAGCAACCATGATCCTATGATTTGCAGTGGCGAACCATGTAAGACTTCTGCGGGACAGATTTGACCTTGAGCTGGGTGATAGCAAATGTGTCAACCACCAACATCCTCTCTGCTTCACCCTAATGTATGACTAATGCTTCCGGCACGTGTTATTGATTGGTACACCAAATGTCCCTCCGATTTAACGAAGAATGGTTGCCTAACTTCATGTAGAACTTACCTCTTGTTTATGTGTGCGCTCTTTCTGTCTTTATGTTTAACAAAGTATTAAAAATTTACTAAAATTCTTGCTAGTGTTTAAAACCAATCGTAAATATACGGGGTATAATTTTTATCGTTCTGTGTAATACTCTGTGTCGGAGCTTCTTGGCTTTGGTTTGCTATCGGAAACTGCGAACATTAAGGAGGGTTCTTGTGTTATCCCTCAGATCAATTCTTTCATGGCTTTGGTTGCATCGTACGCTTAGTAAGCATAACTTATAGATTTGAGTGGTCCTCCTTACTGCTAACACGTCTACTCATGCTGTTTTTATGTTCCAGTGTTTTTTCTTGTTATTCTTTGAATTTATGCTGACTTTTAATCATCTACCTCGTTGTTTTGCATCTACTTGATTGTGACAGCCCCCTCGTAAAATTCTCCCGGCTGTCAGTATCTCGTCCGGACCAAATAAGTCTGCATTACCCGCCCCAACGGTGCATCGTTCATATCCTTCGTCCCTTGATGCTCCTCCAAATCGTCCCATTCAGTCAACTATGGCCAACACTGGGTCACACAATTGCACCAGTCAGGCCAATCCTCCTGTATCATCTGGCCAACGGTCAACACCACCGATGGGGCATGGCGCATCTACGGCTGCTTTAGTTTCACACCCGTCAGTTGCAGTCTCCAGTTTGACCGCAATCACTCCTCTACTGGTGTCCAATTTGATCCCGTCTGATGTGCGGAAGCCATCGGAGGTAAGTGAGTATTTCTCATCCATCCATCCACCTGCCTCATCTAGTTTGGCGAGGTAGGTGGTGAGTGGAAGGTTAAAAGTAGTCAAACTAAAACCTGGTGTTACAATAACATTTCAATGGAGAGAAGGTTGTACCAAACTGCTCGACGGACCATACCAACTTTCAGAACGTTTGAACGTTTTGGGAGGAGTCACGGAGTATAACGATATCGTCAGCATGTTTCAAGTCACCGAGTCGATCACCGGAGAAAAGCTCCACATCGGAAGCTCGCAGTTTTCTAGAGCGCTGCTTAGGATTTTGTCTATTGCAAAATTATAGAGGAAGGGCGAAGCCGTGCACCCTTGTCGGACTTCGCTTGTGATGTTAAGTGAAGGCCAAATGCGATCATAGACCTTTATGCGGTCTGATGTTCTTGAGTAGACTGTTTTGAGAAGGTTTACATACTTTCCAGCTAAACCGCTTCCCAACAGACAAATCTAGAGAGCTGCTCTGTCAACTGAGTCAAACGCACCTCTTATGTTCGAACAGACAGCGATGGTCGGTCTACTAAACGTTTGACGTTTTTTGGCCATCTCCCTCAGGTGAACTGCCAGTGGTTCATCGGCCGGGTTATAGCCCCATATTTCGCCCTTTTGTCCTCTCACTTTGGTAGGGAAACACCCGTCACGGAAAGGCAGTGAGTCCACCTTTATCTGTAGAGGCTTTTCGAGACGCTTGGTCATTTAGGAGCATTTCAAGAGGTGCAAAAAAGAGGTAACCAGCCGCAACCCGAGACACTCACCCGCGATCCCACTGAGGCTTTCGTAGGTTGAAGAAGAACACGGATGGTTTTGAAGACGCTGCTTGTCATAGGTCCTTATTGGATTAGTGACCTTGGTAAATTCCTTTGCGAGGAAGAAAGCTGAAAAGGGCCTTAGAGTTAAATGAGTCAAAAACTGTTTTTAGGTCAATTAGCGCTGTCATTGTTGGTGGATGTTGTGTTTGCCTGCGTGCGACCTCGCTTGACTTGATTCAGATTGAAAAATTGTTTGATACGTCGGTTACAACGCTTGTTGTTCACGGATGTTGGTTTGTCTTAAGGCCGCCAATTTTCAAACACTCTTAAGGGACACTAAACACTGAAGCTGGTTCACGAAAGATTTCTGACAACTGCGCCATTGCTTCGTCAAATTTCAAATTCATGGGTTGTTTGGGAAGAATATGGTCAATAAATCTGGATTGTTCGTTGGTTCCAATTTTCCGGACCAGCAGGCTCACTCTCTCTGCATCATCTTGACAACTGAAATCTGTGCAGAACACGTCTTCCTAGCGTTTGAGCAACGCCTCGAAAGTGTAGCCAGCTTCAGGATCATGATTGAATTGGCAAGTATTTCAGCGGAACTAGACCGAAAGTCACGGAAATTGAATGTGTTGTTTGCAGGTTGAGCCGCTGCGTCAAGGGTGCAATCGGTTTCAGTTGAGCTTCCATCTACTTTTGTTGTTACATTGGAAGGCGCTGGGACTGGTCTGCCGAAACATTCATTGAAATTTCCGAGTTTCCCGTCGCTATTTGGTTGTGTCTCGCCAAGCTATCGCCGAAACTGGCTCCACGCTACCTATCCCAACGATCCCAGTTAAAAGGCAGTTACAACCAACGCAAGTCCTTATTGGTTTTGTCAGCCGAATTTGCGTTGAGTAAGGGAGAAACGTGCGGTTTATACAAGTTTGATCATATTCTAGTCATTTTGTCCCGAGTCGGGGTCTTGAGGGCGCCAATGCAAAGCGTGAAAAAAACAAGTTAAAAAAAGTAAATAAGATTGCCGTTCTCTGTCCGCTACCCTGAGGACCACGTATCCGGGACCTTCGAGAAGACGCCAGTAGGTTCTCACTTTGATGGTTAATACCATTCCATTTCAAATTTAAAAAGGCAAAAAGGGCTTGGGTTAAGGTTAGGCTTTCTCTGACACTGAGAGTTTGTGAGAGAGTTTTCGGCAAGCAGCGTGTCAAAGCGCATAGAGTGTTAAAACTAATTTGCCTTCAGGCGTAACGCGTGTTGTCCATTAGTGCAATTTTGTCTTACGCCACACCAATAGCAGCTCAGTACCACACAGCTTTTGTCTCATGCAGTTTACCAGTAATGGTAACCCATTAGGCTTAGGGAACTGTGTAATTGAAAGATATGAGGATATCCCGATGTGAAGGCAAACGTTGCTTGGTCCGTAAACAGCGTAAAATGAATCCGTACATCTTTTTGTTCAACCGCTTTATTTTATCGATGTCTACTGTCTTTTTTGTACTCGTAAAGTATGTTCATGGATTGTCATCACTGTCAGGCTGATTTTTACAGATATTTCATTCTGTCTCTTTTCCAGTAATTTTTGTGACTTGATGTTTTACATGTTCATTTTATGGCAGCCACGCTTGGTGTCGCGGCACAATCTCTATGGTACACATATCAACCTAAGAATTCATTAAAAATTTCGGTCTTTCCTGTGTTCGTTATTACTCATCTTTTTCCATTTCTACTTCCCATTTGTTTCATTGTTTCCTGGTGACTAACGAGTAGCCTTTGCACAATCCGCATCTCCTACCAACTCTGATCAATTCATCCGCCCAATCTACTTTCGGGGTAATCAATCAGTGTCCTTTTGCCGAACACAGCTCGTACTCAACCCATTCTCACCCCTATCAAGTCCCACACTCTGTTCTCTCCAATCCAAACGCTCGACTGAATGTCCTCACTCATTTGGTATCCTGTGGTCCCTCTCCTGCAACCACCACAACCATCCTCCCGTGCTCCGTTTCACTGACTTCCACCAATGCACCAGTCTATCCGGCTCATAGTTTGCCCCATCCAGGGGGAGTTGGTGCACACACGTCCATTCGTCCCCGCTTTTCGTCACCAGCTATTTCATCGTGGCCCTCAACAACACCAGTTTCGGTCACAACGTTGTTGCCAAAGATGGCGACGTCTTCCATCGCCGGTTCTATCCCACCTGCTCCACTATACACGCATCGTGGTACGAGCTCGGGTCTAGGACTTATGGGTAATGCCGGTGCCATGCGTCGCAGTCTCGACAATTCCGTTGCAACTGTAGTTCCCAATCCTGCTGTTGCACTAGCACAAAATACTACACAACTGGTGAGTATGTTCAATGTGATCGTGCATATTCAATCTTCCTTTTTGTTCGTTCCACAGCCTTCTGAAAAAATGTANGCAAATAGGCCTATGTGCTGCAACTTCTCGGGATCATTGAAGAACCTGAAGAAAAGAAAAGGACGTAAGAGAAATGACAATCTGTTGTGTTGTGTAGCTTGTGGGTGATGATTGAGAGTTTTTGTGGTGGCCTTCACATTAACCAGAGTGTAGCATAGTGTTGCGTCAGATTCAGCAGGTTGTATGAGTAGGTGCCAGCAGTACAGATTCCATAGAAGGAAATTGTTCTAACAGTTTGCGCCTGTGGTTTCTCTCAGGCTGCCAACGAACATCAAGAGCTGGAGTTCCATCACTTCCGATGACCAAGGTGATTCATGCATCATTAGTACATTACTATACCCAGAGATCCACGAAGACTGATTGTGATTGAATGGTTTTGGCCCTCCACTTTTGCTTTGTGATTCTAACTCTATCTGCGGTTCGGTCAACCCGCACGGCCTATTACTA